TGTATGCACAAGGAGTCTGAGAGCAGCCAGTGCTCCACACAGAGATCTGATCTCACCATCATCCAGTCTGTCTGAGATTACATGAAGAAACAGAAACAACTGAGACAGACTAAATCCAGAAGAACTGTGGCAATGTCTCCCAAGATGCTTCAAGAGTCCTACCTGTAAAGCTACCTGAAAAACTGTGCAAGTGTACCTTGTACAAAAGCTGTTTCAAAAGCAAAGGTTGGTCACACCAAATGTTGATTTGATTTAGTTAATAGACGTTAATTGATCAAATCTATTTATGACACTATTTTTGAAAGCATCCTCACTTTACAGCATTTTTACACAAGTGCCTAGGTAGCTTTGCTGGTAGGTTTATTGAAGTGTCTTGGAGACGCTGCCACAGTTCTTCTGGATTTAGTCCATCTCAGTTTTTTCTGTTTCTTCATGTAATCTCAGACAGACTGGATGATGGTGAGATCAGATCTCTGTGTGGAGCACTGGCTGCTCTCAAGACTCCTTGTGCATACAAAAATCTCACTGCATTATTACAAATAATGCCAAAATAAATGTTTGGAAAACAAAAAACATGTAAACTGATATTTCCTACTGACACACTAATCTAAAAATGTTGTTATATTTGTAGTCTACTTTGTTTCTGATCAGTCATAGCGTCACTTGTCCAGAGGCTGCGCGTGTTTGACTCGCTGAGTGTCAGTCAGCCAGTGTTGCCAGGTCCGCCGTTTTCCCGCGTAATTGGGTTACTTTAACACTGTTGCCACCGGTTGTTTCTCATGTCCGCTCCGCGGGTTGAAGCGACCACAATAACTTGATTTAGTCCCTGGAATGCGAATTTTACCAGTTGAACCCCGCCAAAAAAACGTGTATGTTACCCCCCGGAACACGATTGGGCTAGCTTTGGGCTAGTTTTATGTAGCAATTGGGCAAATTGTAATAAAAACTTGGCAACCCTGCTGTCAGCTCTCGTGAGCTCCTCCTCCGCAGCGCCAGGAAGCTGCCAGAGCTCCGCCACACGCTCACACTCTCCAGCGACAAGTCTCTCCGGCTGTCTCCAGTTCTTATCCGGCACAGTTTGATCCTCTTTAACGGTGAGCGGCGATATCTTTTCATTTTTGAGTTCTGGTGTTTGAATGTGTTTCATAAAGTCGCCGAGTTCATCAGTTCTAGCGCGAGCTAACGGCAGGCTAACGCGAGACAACCGACGAACGAGACATAATAATACTTAAAAACAGCTGTTTCGTCGAGAAAAGACACGGAGGAAGGTAACGTTAACGGTATCATTATTGCCTCTTTCCTCGTAACCGCTTGAAGCCTGGATGTGTAGAAGACCGTTAACCGTCACCAGCTAGTCCTGTCATATCTAGTCCATACGTAATGGTTGTAAAATCAAACTATTCGATTAAATTGGGTACATGTTGTTTTATGCTTTGAACGCTCTTTTTATTTAGTGTTTAGTTTTGTTTGTTTGAACCTGTTAACCGCTGTTTAGCACTCTGAAGAGCTGAGTTTAACTTCCATGATTCAGGATCAGCCCCGTTTGGACTTTAAATTCAGACAGTACGATGTTTATATGTTGTTGAACAAAAATCTCGATTCTGTCTGAAATGTGTCCCTAAAAGATACAGCTTCAGTCCTCGGATCAGGTTTATATGGATGATGCTGTATTGCCATAGAAGCAACAGGGCTGATCAGTGGGCATCCACGCACGGGTTTCATAAAAGGGCTTCTAACCCAGTTTCCCAAAATACTGTAAGAGAAACAACATAGCACCAAGCAAAGCCATCAGATAAGTGACTTGAGTCCAGATGCTCTGGTGCAACGCTGTTCACCAACAAGTGGGCCAAATTAATTCCTTGGGCCATGTTGACCTAGCTAAATTATTATTTTTTTTACCCACTGATGGCTAACAGCTATAGATAGCAGTTATGTGATATATGTAAGCAATAAGGCAGCAGTGTATTTACTGTATTTCTTACAGTGTTTCAGTTTTTATAGCTTTTATTTTTCAGTGTATCTTTCAGTGTTTTGTGCTTGGAGTATGATACTGTAAAGGTTCAACACTCAATGAATGAATGATAATTGAAGTGCAGAGACTTCATGGCAAGATAAGATAGATTTACCTAATTTACTTTAGTTAATTGCACTGTAGTCAAAAAAAAAGTCAGTCTTTATACTTAAAAAAAAAAAAAATCATATTTAATTAAAATGTGTGTAATAGTGTTTGGTGACATGCTCCGTAGTCATATCGTCAGCCCATGAGATCGCTGATACAAGATATTATCATGCTAATTTATTTAATTATTTACTTACTTAGATTCATAGCCGGAGAGTGAACTCAAGGGTAAGGCTAAAAGCAGCCTAATGTTACTGTAATCTATTCTTTTTACTCAAGTAGCATATGGATGTCATGTCATAAAATATTTTTAATATGACTATTTAACATAACATAATTTAATAGAAACATTGTAAGTTACTAATTATAATGCTTACGTTTCCTCAGTTATTAAAACTGAGATTGGTTATAACGTGCAACACTGTAAAAACTCAGAAAAAGAAATATGATGGAACAAATAAGCCCTAATATTAACTAGATAATAATACTAGCCT